AATTAATATATTAGCATTTAAAAACATATATGTAAAAATTTAAAAAATATTACATATCTATAAAAACATATATATAAATTAATATAAATGAATATATGTAATTATCGTATTATATAAATTAAAAAAAATATATTTACTAATTATTACTTTAAATGGTTCATTTAGGGTATTCGTATACCTGAACAAGCTGACCGTGAGGACCCGGCCGACAATATTATGCATGGTTCTGGAAACCGACACGTTATAAGTCGGGGTATAACTGCGTCCGGTCGCCGCACTCGGGAGGACGCGATCAAAGAGGCTCGGATGTTACAAACTGGTCAGATTGGCCAGTCCGACAGTTCGAGACTTCACGCACCAGCCGTACCGGTTGGTCAGCAAGGGTATGGCCAGGCAGGCAGTTCTAGAGTCCCCGTCCCCGGACCATTACTGTACGATCATGATCAGCATAGATATTATTATGCTGGCCAGGCAGGCAGTTCGATACCTCGTGCACCAGCACCGCACGGTCAGCAGGTATATTATGCCGATGAGTCGGTAGCCCAGACGGAGCAGTCTTCTGACGAGTCCGCATCATATGACGACGCGGACGATCCTGGACTCCCACCGCATCATACACCTCTTGCTCAGCATACACCTCCTACACAGCATGCGTCTCCTGCACAGGCTGCGGTTGCTGCACAACCTACGACTCCTGTTCGGCCTGCTATTCCACGACAGACTGGTGGGCGTTTTGCTAGCACTGGATCGTCAGGTAAATAATTTAAGTATTTTTATTTCGTTTGACATTAATATTTCGACTTAATCGCAACAAATTATCAGTACTGTTAGTGACATTGTGACACGGGTCGTGTGACCTTCGAAAAAATTGTCGATTTGGCTACAACTTTTTCACACGACTCGTGTGACAGTGAGACACGGGTCGTGTGACACTCACTTATCACACGAGTCGTGTGAATCATGACAAAAATGTTGATTTAGCTACGGCCTTTTCACACGACCCGTGTCACAAAGGCAAACGAGTCGTGTGAGTCCACACGACTCGTGTCACTTGTCACACCAGTCGTGTGAATCATAAGAAAATTGCTGTTTTAACTACGGCCATCTCACACGACCCGTGTCACGCGGGCACACGAGTCGTGTGATCCCACACGACTCGTGTCATTCTGTCACACGAGTCGTGTGACCTCACACGACCCGTGTTATTTTGTCGTGTGATGGGTCGTGTGGACCTGAGAGTATGTCGAAAATTGAATTCGTGTGCCTAC